GTCTTGGAAACTGCCAAATGGAAACACGTGTTAAGAAAATGTTAACAAAAACAAATATGACAAAATACGATTTGTGCCTTTTTGCATGATTTTACAGATTTTAGTTTTAAATAGCAGTCTGCATTTGGCAGAAATGACTATAGCTACTACAAAGTTTGCATTCAGTTTATGCAATCAGTTTCCTATTATTTGTTCAGAAAGGCTGTTAAATGTCACTGAATCAATAGAAATGTGTCAGATTTCTGATGAGTCCTTCTAATAGCTGTCTGTGCTGCTCAGTGAGGAACATCAGTATGCTGGAAGTTCCCCTCACTGTCCTAACATAATCTGCCCAATATGTAGAATAATACAGGTTTTTCTTCATGCAAACACAGCCAGCAGCCACATCATTAGATCCCTGTTCAACCAATCATGTGACAGAAACACAAGGTCTGTTTCAGTAAAGATGTTAGTGAATTTGGTTAACATTTAACTGAGTTTTGTCTGTAATTTCAAACATTGCTGTAACAAACAGGACGTTAACATTTACAGAAAATTGAGAATAAGATAAAACCAAAGTAAGGACATTCACTGCCTCAAACCAATAACTCAGTCTGATGATGGTGGTGGCATGTGTTTTGACACTTTGATCCCTTTATTACCCAAAATATATCCAAGTGTTGTTGAACACGACCACACCTTATGACCACTGTACCCAGCTCCTCGGCTCTTAATGTCTTTGATGTGTCGGAATGAGAGATCCGGACTCTGCAGCCTGAGTGAAGCTGTGCTTTAAAGGAAACAGTCGGAGTCTGGGAACAAAATCAATCAGAGGCTGCAATCCAATCGCTGTGTTTGAAGAAGCTTGTTCTTCTAAATGAAACAGTTTTTGTGTTTCCACAGTTGGTGGCATGGCGGGGGGCGGGGGTGGGGTTGCTCTGACACTGTACATGTGCTGAGAGCAGCTCGTTTCATTCTAAAGGTGATAAGATTTTCTTCTTAAGTTTAGAAAGCTGATTAAAAAAACACATTAACTTCTATAGCTAATTAAGTTATAAAAACATATTTAGTCATCATGGGGTAAATTGTGAAACATTTAGGAATGATGCCCCACTTTCGAATCTTTATTAAATCAACATAAAGTTGTACTCAAGCTAACCCCCTCAAAGTTTTACTCATTGTTCTCTCTGATGTACAGGTGCTGGTCATAAAATTAGAATATCATGAAAAAGTAGATTTATTTCAGTAATTCCATTTAAAAAGTGAAACTTGTATATTATATTCATACATTACATACAAACTCATATTTTTCTAATGTTTATTTCGCTTAATTTTGATGATTACAAATG